AAAGTAAGAAAAAAAGAACAATAAAAGAAGAAACAGCAAAAGTCCTTTCTTATGTTGTGATGGATTTACTAGTACTTCAAAATGGCGGTCAGTTGTAAAATTCATATCGAATCCTTCTTCTTCTTCTCAGTCGTACACTCTTGGTGGAGTGGTCGTAGTTATATATGTCTTATTGCTTGGTTGCGGTTTTTGCGAGGCTTCTCCATCTTTCTCTATTTGTGGCGGTACGTGTACATTCAGAAGGGAACACTTAGTATATCACTTAATCAAGTCTGTCCACCTTGTGGGTGATCTACTCTTCTTTGAACCATTAATCATTCCAATGAGCTTTCATTACGGATGATATGCCCAAACATATTAAGGATTCGCAATTGCACAATCGATGAAAGTTTTGTTTGATTTGGAGCGCTTTCAGGATGGATACATTGGTACTGTTTCATGGTGGACACATTGGTACCAAATCCTACAACATGATAATAGGACATGCCGCCTTGACCCCACATCATGTGGGATAAGGGGAGGAAGAACGAAGAAGAGAATGCTATGGGACTAGCATGCCAAAAATTTAAAATAATTTTCTAGAAAATATTGTTAGGACCGCGCTCTTCGCGTTCTTTCTTCTTCCTATTCGTACATTCTTGACAGAGTGGTCGTGGTCATGCATCAGTCGGATCCTGCGATAGTGATGCTCTCGCGATGCGACGCCATGTGGCACAATGCTTCGCAGAGTGAGAGCAATCATTTATGTTGGAGTGAGTCTTCGCGTAAAATCTGTCAATTTCAATTCTTATGATAAATTAACAATAGCTTTCTTGAGAGATATATGTAAATTCAGGGTCAGTAGCTAAATTTTATGGTTTCTTTGATGTTTATATTTGCAATAACGATGGTTATAAATGTAAAGAAAAAAAGCTAAGCCACCACAATAATAGAATAAACAATGTTATACTGTTTATCCAAAATAATAAATGCGACCTTTATTTATTATTATTAATCCTGCTGGTAGTTTTGAAAGCCCGAATAGTTAGGTTTCACTACACTGCTTATTTCTGCCGCGAACCAGCAACGTTTCAGTTTGAACCGAGCTACAATTAAATTATCCCTCATGTCACATGTTCGGGGGTGGCATTCATGTGGTGATGTCTGTGGGCTCCGGTAACCACTTAATACTAGGTGGGCCGGGAACTGATTCGCCAGTCTGCAATAGATAAAAACCAAACAAAATGTTATGCAAAACCAACTTTAATGTGCTTTAATGAAATATAAATTTATAGGTAGTTAAGAGATTCGAAGTACTTACTACTTCTGCCTCTATCTATATATTAATACGTGAAGCAAAAACTTTGTATCCCTTTTTACGAAAATTGCGCGGACGGAGGAGTATGAAATTTTCCACACTTATAGAGAATACAGAGAAGAAGTGCACAATGCTAATATTTTTTTAAAATAATGCATAAAAGATACATTAAAGCAGTAAAGAAAACATTACACACACAACATGTACTTGACGCACACACGCCTGCATACTATTTATTGCCAAGCTTTTGTTCTTGACGTCTGTTGTCAAATTGAGAATAGATTAAATATTTTTTGTCTTTGTTAATATTTTTTATAGTGCAGTCTTGGCGAAATTTGTATAAAATACAATAGTGTACAAACTTACAATTCCAATTAATTATAGTCGAATTTCGACTACTGCGGGACCTCTAGTTAAATGAAAATATAGAACTATACTCTAACAAAATTTAGAGCGAAATAGGTATTACAATTTTATCGTTCAGCTATGTGCCTACGAAATGCTACGAATTTTCGTAGAGCATTGCTACGTAGGCTACGAAACTCATTTCGTTTATTGAGTTCTTTTGACTGTAAAATGTGCTTTTTGCGAGATGCCTATCAAGTTAGTGTAATTTATTTAAGTTTTTCATAATAAAGAAGAAATGCTCAAAGTCTTGTTAGGACTAGCACAGCAGCCCTTCTGCGTATCCATATCAAACAGCAAATCACCAAGCTTCGGGCTAGACTTGGATCGGACGCTTTGGTCGACGATTAACCCAAAACTTTACATTGGTTGATCCTCATTAAATAAAATAAATGGTGTTTCGTAGTAACTTTTTTTTTTATTGCCCTTGTAGGCAGACGAGCATACGGCCCACCTGATGGTGAGTGGTTACCGTCGCCCATGGACTTCAGCTTGCCAAGGGTAGAGCCAAGCCGCTGCCTACCGCTAAATTGGGAATTGCTACCTGGGAATTGCGTTTCTAAATTTAACACAAAGTTACAAACGATTTCGGTTTTTATGTTAATACCGCTTAAAAACTAATTAGCCGATAGCAGAGAGCCTGTTATAGTTGAGCAATTACTATGGATTAACGTTAACAAGCAAATCGTTATCAGCCGATACCTATACTTCATATATTGCTGTTTGCTTCATTTACTAACATGATAATTAAAGTATATTATTTTTAAGTGGATTGAATACGCGAATATTTATGACAAAATTATACGTAGGTATATATATATTAATACGTGAAGCAAAAACTTTGTATCCCTTTTTACGAAAATTGCCCGGACGGAGCAGTACGAAATTACCCACACTTATAGAGAATATAGAGAAGAAGTGCACAATGCTATTTTTTTTTTAAATAATGCATAATAGATACTTTAAATCAACAAAGAAAACATTACTCACACTACCATGTATTTGACACAACACATACATAAAAATATACTCTTTGTTTACTGTCAATTGGGATACTTTTGTTATTGTTTAAAGTCTTTGGTCGAATTGAAAATAGATTAATATTGTTTGCCTTTAATATTATTGATCTATAGTGCAGTTTTGGCGAATACTGTGATTATATTATCGACATAGTGTTTGACAATAGAACCATAATAATGTTTAAACTTATAATTTCAATTAATTATAGTCGAATCTCGACTACTGGGAGGCCACTAGTCTATTGAAATGCACAAATGAAATGGAACAATGCTAATTTTGAAAAATCTTACAGTATCAGATTGTTTCTTGTTTCTTTAAAAAAAAATATTTTCTAGAAAGATATTATGATCAAACACTGAAACTTAATAGAAATGAATCACATAAATATATAATTGATGGAAAAAATCAAACGTCTATTTTTAGACGATAAAGTTACAAGAAAACGTAGCGTAAGGTTTTTGTAGGCGGACAGTATAATTCAGCACAGCACTAGCACATAAATACTGAACGAATCTTCGTCCCACCTTGACTCTCGAAACTAATGCTTAAAGATTCCGGTCGTAAAGATCAATCTTCTATAACCTTGCGTGGGTTCTGCCATTCGGCCTCATTTCGAGGTCAATGTTAAAGCGGTTTCAAACTGTTATTACAAAATAACTGTACCTAAAATCGGTTCAGGTAAAATCGATACAGTTTTAGGCTGAGTATAATGAAATCCTTTTGTTATTAGTCTGATATTCGTGCGTGATTCCAACCAATAATTAGCTTCAAATCATAATTAAGACTAAATCCTCTATGAATAGATAGGGTACAATTAAGTTAAGCTATGCGCTGACAAAAATAGGTTTCTAACTAAGCCACTTACTTATTCAATTCTAAAATTAATGGAAAACAAAAATATAACGAATGTATTATATTTAAAAATGCAATAGATATGCTTATAAAGGATTTATAAAATTGTTTAAAACTTAGTTTAACTTTGGTATATGTTTTTAAAAGTTTTAATTCCGCAACCTTTGTAAGCCTCCATTTTCACAGAATCATAATGAAAATGAAACAAATCTTATTGATTGCAATCTGTCTTGTCACGAGCAAAGGTGTCGGGTCGATCGAGGGCAATGGCGTGAAAGTAAAAATGAAGATTGACAAAATATCTTCATGGTTTGAATTCTAAGACCGCCCTAAAATTAATTTGCTGACGGAATTATTTGGATGGTTGCCAATATTATTAGTGAGTTTTATTGATGGTTATAGTTTTCTTTTTTGTTCTTGCCATGAAATGACATCGTGGAGTAATCATTCATGTCTTAATTATATATATATGTTTATTTGTTCACATATGACTTTATATAAATTTCGACGAAAATAAACTTTAAAATATAATCATTGACAAGTTTGTTTATCTAATTATTGATTGTATTTCTCATACTGGTACTATCGAAATATTTGAATAATTAATGACTCGAGTTTCCTGTTCTCTTTCCAGATACACTACAACAAAATTTGAATGTTACCATATAAAGAAATCATTTATTAAAATTAATATGACTTATTGTTCTAAGTTCCAAACGCTACGCGCTGATACTTTAGAAAAAAATTGGAAACTCGAGTCATCAATTATTCACATATTTCGATAGTACCAGCATGAAAAATCTATACTAATATTATAAAGAGGAAAGATTTGTTTGTTTGTTTGTTTCGAATAGGCTCCGAAACTACTGGACCGATTTGAAAAATTATTTTTCCATTAGAAGCCGACATTGTCCCTGATGAACATAGGCTACTTTTTTTTATTTTTTTTTTATTTTTTTTTTTGTTTCATGTGTGTTTTAATGTTTCCGAAGCGAAGCGAGGGCGGGTCGCTAGTATAATATATAACTAGATAACTAGATAAACAAACCTGCCAATACTAGTAAAAAAGCGATAAAGATCTTAATGAATAATTAAATTTTAAAGTTTATTTGCGTCCTCCTAATTTAAATAAAGTCATAAGTCATCAAACTACATTGAGTATGCGTATTGCATGTGTGAAATTGATCTCCTACACGAAAAAAAAAAACTTTCTCATACAGATCAAGAAACCTCTCGAGCCTCGGAATCGTTTAGCTAACTAGCCCTGAAGGCATCCAGATCCGTTTTTTCTACCACGTTCTATTCTTACCGCGCGTACTTTATTTCTATTTGCCTGTACAGTGTACAGCGAGGTAGGGAGGGGGGTGGGGAGCAAGGGAGCTAGGCACGCGCGGTGATGTCGCCCCAGCCAGTCAAGCTGCGGCGACCGACCGAGCGCCTGTTCGTGTACTCCACGCCGAAATAAATCAGAACTGGTGCTCCACCAGTGTGAGTGACGTGAACCAGTGATCGCACATGCGTGTCTTTGACAACACCGACAGTGAAACTCTGTGTGACTTGTGATTTTAAAAGTGTTTTTTTTATTTTTTGTTTTATTTTAAACAGTGCACATCCGTTACGAGTTTGCATCGTAGACGCGGTGCCCGGATATTTGAATGCCGGTAAGTGCATTTTTAACTAGATTAATTAATATACATACACGACCTTGGTGATTTTGTATTTCATTCCCGGTATGTAAGGACCGCTCGAGGCCTTCGCACGTTCATATTTTATTCAAGCTAATGCCACGGCCGGCGGAGTTATAAATTGCCTTTTAATTACTTACCTTAATGCTTTTCAGATCCTATGTTAAATCAAACTATAGTTAACCGACATAATAGTATAATAAATACTATGCAATTAAAACTTTGTTAAATAATAGTCGAAATAATACTATTCAATTAAAAATTCGTTAAAGAATAGTCGAATTTATAAAAGTTTCCATTAATTTCAAAACTGTATTTCTTTTTTTCTGGAATAGTAATGAATTAACTTAAATCTTTAACAACATTGAATTAGCTGTATATTTTTTTTAATAATGTATTTCTAAATGACGATTTGTAGAATTTTGTTCATTTATCAAAATGGCTTATCAAAGATCATCAAATTATCTGTACCCGCTTCAAAGCACTCCGAACACATTTATGGGGCTTATGTGGAGGGATTTGTTGGGCAAAAAACGTTTCATCCCTCATTAATCTTCCGGCCCGATTTTACTGCAGTGTTAATTACTTAATTGATTTAAAACACGGTGTACCTATACTAAAAAAAAAGAATTTCATTTGTTAATAACAAATCGATATCGAGATAATAACAGAGGACTAGGTAATAAAGAGCAATTGCTTCAGCTTACAGAAATGAAAGTTTCAATGTACTGGTAACATTTTTAGAATCGTTAATCTACAAATTTATTTAATGATTTATTAGAAAAACCTAGGCGACTTTGTTACTATATTATCGTTGAATTTATGAAATACACTATTTTGGGGAAACTATTCGCGCGCCACCTGTCTTCAGTTAATGGTACTATGACAACATCCAGAAATATAAGTAATAAATACTAAGATTCCGGTTAATTGGATATCTTCCACCTACAGAACACTAATAAACAAATATCCAATTCTATATGATAAATAAAATTGGAAAAAATACAATTAATGTTTAACAATTAATGGAAAAATAACAATTAATGATCATAGATTAACATCGAAGCAATACGGCCAGCTTACAAGGATAGATCTGTATTGAGCTATTGTGAACATTTAAATATGTAACGTGATGTATGTTCACCAGCGCTCACGGTTTTCCGTTATAGCTTCTTTATGAACGCTTACTAACTCAACAGCGTGACAACTAATTTTTCGACTTAATCTAGCGTTTGTCGTATAATTTACGTGGTGGCCACGAAAACTGTCTTCAAAGCAATGGACATAAGTTTACGGTATAATATACCGAAATTAATTTAAAATATACCGTAAGTAATTATCATATTATGATAATAATATCACAAAAGTAATTTCGACTATAATCTCAGTTTGGTATTGATAAAAAAAGATTAGTAGTGTAGTGTGGTTGTATTGTTTCTGGCTGTATCAATAACCTGTTCTCGGATTTTAATTATTAGAAAGAATGCCATTGCATCGCCGCCACCGGAATAGAGTTTATCCTACTACCTAGAACCACTATTCATCCATAGTGCGTTTTCAGAGATCTTTTTTTGCTACGTACCATTCGGCTTTGGAATGAGCTCCCCTCCACGGTGTATCCTGACCACTTTGACATGTACTTCTTCAAACGAGGCTTTTGGAGAGTTCTTAACAGTAGGCAGCGGCTTGGCTCTGCCCTTAGCATTGCTGAAGTCCATGGGCGACGGTAAACACTCACTGTCAGGTGGGCCGTATGCTCGTTTGCTACAAGGCCAATAAAAAAAATCTCAGAAAGAAAACAAATTACAGTTATGTATTGTAAATAATTATCTTATATTTTTAAATTTTATTTATTATATTCAGATAGGAAGTATTTGTAACACGGTTTTTGGTATAACTATTTATATAATACCTAAGTATATATTAAAAAGCATTACCTTAGTGAAGTTTTGTTTCTCTTTAATATAAATAATGTTATATAATTAGACAGCAAAATAGTGGGGCGCCTTTTTCTTCTCGAGCTCTTTCTGATGAGCTGTTCAGCAAACATATTTTGAAAGCAAACCCCCGCATCTTCTCAAGAAAAAATGTCAGTAACTTAATAAAATTGTAAACTGAAAATTGTATGAATGTCATTCTTAAGATGTCGGATTATGGTAGAATTTTGACCATTGCGCGCACACAAGTGTTTTGAGTATGTATTATTATTATGTTAAAAAATAAAATCAATTTAATTTCGACATGTCCGACCAGAGTTCTGCCACGTGGTTTAAGTCCTCTATTCAATTGCTTATAAATAATACAAATGATTTAAAAACAAAATACTGGAAACATATTATGTTTTCACATTAATTTCCGATACATCTGATTTATTAAACAAACAATTTTCATTATTATTCAGTGATAGTAATATCTGACACGTCGGACTTTTGTTATAACGTAATTGATTATAAGCGCAATTAAACTTCAGCGTGTACCGTAATGATGTAGTGACGAGAATCAAAATATTTGAATAAGTACGTTACTCTTAAAGTACTTATCTTTAAATTAAATATAGGCAACTTTTTTTTTGCCAAATTATTCAATTATAATGTTAATGTTTTTAAATGAGCCTTCCTATTGATAGAGAGCTAAATAATCTTACCTTGTTTTATATACTGAATACTTTTTTTGCATTTCAAAAACTTTTTAATCTCGTCTCGTTGAAAATATTGAGTATCAAACAATTCTTCGGTATTTTCTTTTCTAGGCTTGAAGCTAGGCGTGTTCTACGATGTACTCCTCTAGGTCATGCCTTCATATAGATTTTAAAAGGTCCTTTTTGTTGACACGAGGAAAACCTTTCACAATACGTCCTTTAAAACTCCCGGGGGGAACACGGGAGCGATGTTGGAATGTGCAATGTGGGCTGAGTTCTGCAAGCTCATACCAATTAAAAGCTCGACAGTGTTCCGAAGAGGAGCCTTTGCTGAATATTTAAAGCCCCTTTCGTGATTTTCGTATAACGAAAATATTAAATATGACATTATTTTGGATAAATTTCACGTTCAAAAACCGTACACGGTTTTCCTTTTTTTAAATTTATTTTAACATCGAAGCTGAGTTATTTTTTTGTCTGTTTTGTTTGTTTGTTTGGAACATTAAAGGCGTAGGTGAGTTTACGCCTGCTCCGGTGTTAGGAACTTAGTGAAGTCCAAAGAAAAAACAACACGAATTCCATCTGATTAATGAAACTTATAAGTGTAACATTCACCAGAAGCAAAGTGATATCTGCTGCCCCCACAGCCGCGTGGCGTCTACCGTAAAATAATCTTAAGTTTAAAGGTAGATGTGCAGTGAAATACCTTAAGACGACGCTTGTAGCTGAAAGGAATCACTGGTGGTAGGACCTCTTGGGAGTCCGCACGGGTAGGTACCACCACCTCGCCTATTTCCGCCGTGAAGCAGTAATGCGTTTCGGTTCGAATGGTGGGGTAGCCGTTGTAACTATACTGAGATCTTAGAACTTATATCTCGAGGTGGGTGGCGCATTTACGTTGTAGATGTCTATGGGCTCCAGTAACCACTTAACACTAGGTGGGCTGTGAGCTCGTCCATCCATCTAAGCAATAAAAAATAAATAAATAAAAGTAAGTATTGTACTTTTTGACGAAGCACGTTGCTGATAACTTTATTTCTGTAATCTGACGAACGTGTTGCGGATAATAACATGTACTTTTAGGCTATTTAGGAATATTGTNATCGTCAACTCGATTTTGCCGTATTTTAGTGTGAAAAAGTAGCTGTTGTGTAAGATATCCAGCTGTCAAACGTATTATTTTTATTTCTTGTTTGTTTGAGGGAATTGTCAAGTTTTGTCGTGTGGTTTTATCTTTTTTCGTTTAAACGTTGCATTCAGACTATTAATAATCATTTAGTGCATTGCGTTGACTTGAAATTACTTAAAACAGAATAAATATTTATGAAATGACAGAAATCAGATGTTGGACTGACAGACGCCATTACTTTATTCTAGGAATAGCTCCGTTATTCCGTGCGAAACGGCGGTATAGTAGCAATTCCCGAATAGGCCCACTATTCTTAGAATTGTAGTTGGTAAAACGTAAAATTGATTTACTCTCGATTAACTGACGAGTTATTCTAAGAATAAGATTTACTCTTGTTTGGTCGAATCGACCCTAAGTCTCTCACTCTTAATCGGGTGGTCGTGGTCGATGACGCTGCATTTTCATTGGGCAGAATAACATCAGGTAATAAAAATTAATGCCGAAAAGCATTAGCAATTTTTACTGGTGGTAGGACCTCTTGTGAGTCCGCGCGGGTGGGTACCACCACCCTGCCTATTTCTGCCGTGAAGCAGTAATGCGTTTTGGATTGAAGGGTGGGGCAGCCGTTATAACTATGCTTGAGACCTTAGAACTTATATCTCAAGGTGGGTGGCGCATTTACGTTGTGGATGTCTATGGGCTCCAGTAACCACTTAACACCAGGTAGGCTGTGAGCTCGTCCACGCATCTAAGCAACAAAAAAAAATGGTGGCCATTGAATTTTACAATTACATAGTCAGCCACCGCCTAATTCCGACTACTGGGCATCACTATCCATACTCATTCACAGCGCGTTTATAGAGAACCCGTTTGCCACAGTCGATCCGGCTTTGATACGAGGTCGTCTCCTAGGTGTTGTGAGCATCAGTCAAAACATTACCAAAATTAATAATAGTATTGCTGACTTAATAATAGTATTACTGGTTTTAAAGTGTGTTGTAAGTCTGCACGCTTGGTACTGCTATTCGAATTCTAGAAACAGTCATTCTGTTTGGAGAATGGGATTTTTACAATTGATACTTCGTCCGCATCTCGTGACGGATGGCGATATCTATGTTGTAAAATCTATATCGGTAACTATCCAAACGCCGGCTGGAAAGTGAACCCATTTATATAATAAAAAGAAATAGAGATAAAAAGTCCCTCTGC